GATCCAAAATTGGAAGGGATAGAATCTGGTACGACATCATCATCAACTTCCTCATTGTATTGGACTCCTCCAAGTCCTGACTGGTCTTGGGAGTACTCTAAAGTGCTCGCGTATGAAGCCCCAGGGACTGTAGCAAACGCAGATCCAAAATTGAAAGGGATAGAATCTGGTACGACATCATCATCAAATTCCTCATTGTCTTGGCCTCGATCCATGCTTTCAGTATCGGAAACCTGACTGCTCTTGTTGTTTGGTCCTTCACTCAATGAACTGTGTCTTTTGACTTGCGTATCAGCTGTTGGCTTGGAGTTATATTCACTTTCAGAAATCACTTGACCGGCTTCCACAATAAATGGCTGTTCTGCAGAAGGTCTCTTCACCGGCGAATCCTGAACTGTTTGCTCTTCTGCCATTTCAATCCAGTATAGGTCTGCAATGCAAGCATCAATGAATCACCTGGAAAAGTTCCAAATAAATGAATAATTACATTAATATATAACAAGAACAACAATGTGATAATGATAATGATGATGATGAATAGTAAAAACACTTATAATGATAATAATATAAATATATATTTTTGAATGATGATTTAATAATTTTTTTAAAATGATAATAATGATATTAATACATTTAATAATAACAAAAATAATCATAATGATGATAATAATGAAAGCAATAGTAATAATACGAATAATAATAATAATAATGATACTTATAAATCTTTGAAAATACGATTAGCATAAAGAACAATCAATATAGTCAATGAAATTTCTTTCTGACCCAAAAGCTGAAGGTTCCCTTATTTCATCATCAACCCCAAACATCATCCCTTCTACTTTTTTTTAAAGGGCCTTTTCAATAGCCTTATGTGCATCAACTCTTGTCAAGTGCAAACACATCATAATTGGACATGATGTCTGCGGGATATACAATAAGGTATTCAAATTGCCCAAGAGTTTATTTTTTCAAAAAGATTTTCAATCGTGTTCCAAACTTTTTCAGGTCCAAGGAAAACAATCATCTAAGGATCTTCTTGCTCTGTTAACATTAGAGTTCCGTGCTGGCATCTTATCAAGTGATATTCTTTAGATATTAATTCTGAGAGATATTTCAAAATTAGATATCAAAATGGCTTCCTTGCTAGTTAAAGTGAGTTGATTATAACCAACATTATATTTTGGGCTCTCACATATCTCTACAAACTAAAATGTGAAATCACCATTTAAAAATGGCATATTAAAAATGTCAGATTAACTATTTTATTAAACATGCTAGATTAAACCTGTTGAATCCATGCAGCAATTTGAAAGTGTAAAACTACAATAATATTTTGAAAAAGTGGTCACTCTTCTGCCCTTTCAAATGATGATTCATATATTACAGTGTGCAGAAGTATAACTCTCAGAATCAAATTCCATGCGGATTATCCCACCATGCTCTTTCATCATCGACCATTATTTTGATATCTACCATGCAGCTTCGGAGAACCTTTATATCTAATTTTCATGAATCAAAAAGCAACTAAATGTGGAAGATTAGTCGCAATATTTCAATACACAACTCTATTGTCATACCCAACAAAGCTAAACATTGTCTGTATTTTGGCAGTCTTGAATTAACAAAGGTAACAATGCTATGACCTTGTCTTATTGTCACTAAGCAAATAGCTACCCTGAAGAAAAGTACGCCAAGATATTTCCATTATATATCTCATGTATTACTACAACCATTTGCACAGTGTTGCCTATTCGCTTTCATGAAAGCTATAATCGTAGTATGATATACACTTCACATCGTATACAATGATTCTAAAATACAATTTTGTTCACAATGAGCAATTTTCATTCTCTATACTACTTACCAGAAGGTTATATTTCTGTCTATATGCGACGATACGGGATTATTGCTTTAGTTTTACTACGGTAAACATGGTAAAGCAGGTGTCTAATATCAAAATCATTTCATTTTTTAAAATACTTTTAGAGGCATGATATTATGAGATCATATCGATATATTCATACTCACGAGTTTTTTTCGCTTGCGCTTGTATCTAGAGCTGTCATCGTCTAGTTCTCTCAACAACAAAACATGTGAATGAAAACTGAAACTTGCCTGATCAACAAGTTGGGAGAGCATTCATTAAAAATATTTCTTGGTCTGATAGCGTTCTTTTACACATTAACACTTCAACAGATAACTACGCGTCACGGTGCATTGACATATTCAACTACGTCATCGTAACAAAAGGTGGGATTCCCCCCACCTTCGAACTAACTCGAAATGGCTTACCTGTCTCCGCTGTCTGGCCTTTTATGGAATTTCAATTGTTTTCCCCACATTTCCCGAGCTCCCTTTGTGTGGATCTGTTTGGACACATTAAAGGCCTCATCTTCGCGTTGATGATGCTCATTTTATTGACCATCAAATTGCCACCTTAATTGAGGTGGGGATACAGATTTCCTATATTTAATCATCTGAATTCTTTTGAATGGGGCATGACGTTTGAAATACAACGCCCCCACTTTCACATATTTGATTTAACGAACATAATTATAATTCGAATGAGCATAGAAAAAAATCTATATACCGCCCCCTCCCATGCATGCTGTGAATCCACTGCGGAGTTGCATGCATGGACCCACGTCCACATCCTAATGCCCCCCCCCCCCCAAGTTAACTTGGTACAATGTTTATTTTCTTTATACACTGTTGCCAATATAAAAGTTAGCATGACCAGGGGCGGATCTGGGGGGGGGGGCCTGGACATCATTTTTTTTAAACTTTTTTTTTTTAATGTCGGGGGCAATTTTTTTTTTTGGTGCTTTCTATCTCCCAGACCGTCATATTGGTCATATAGATACATGACTATACATTTCCCCTCTGGCAGCATCCTTATGTACCCAATTGAGGTTGCAAAGACCGTCATTATTTTGTTAACATATTTTTTAAACGTATATAAATTATGGGGTCGGCAATATAAAACAACTTTATTATTTAAACACCGAGAACTCCAGGCATTTATTGCGTTTTTTTTTTAAATTGTTGAAATAAATAAAAATCCTCAAAACCAAAGAGAAAACTTTCTAATGCAAACTCAAGATCATTATGTACATGTAAAGTATGATTATACTATATCAAACTCCCTTGACAAACTCTATGAACATGGAAAGTGTATAGTCCTACACACTACACAGGCAATTATGTTTGAACTACAGGTATTTTACAAGATAGTATATTTCCCCGAAGTGTTAACATGTTTAGAACGGTCTGATAGTGTTATCCATAAATTCCAAAACAACGTTAGGTATTTTTAAATTATTTTAGGCGTAACCGTTGACTTAGTATTTAAAAAATTCCAATGTTCTGAACCAAAAACCAAAAAAGAAAGAAAAAACGAAGAAGATAATTATAAAGATTTAAAAAAAAAGGAAAAAAAAAGAAGATATTATAAAGATTAAAACAAAAAGCACACAAACCTCGGATACTCATATATTAACCATTTTGTTTGGTCAGTGGCGTAACGTGAGTCCATCAATCGAGGGGGCGCTATGATGATGATTGGGGGCCGGGGGCGGCCGGGGGCGGTGCAATTATCTTACTCAGGAAATTAAATGCGCGAATTATTGTGTAAGGCTGCATGAATAAGGGTGTGGGAGGTGGTCCGTGCGTTTTCTGAATCATCCTTTCTCCCTTATCCTTTATCCTTCCTCTCTTTTATTACTTTTTATTTATTGTTATGTCTTACTCTTTCAACCATTCGAATGTATTATTATTATTATTATTATTATTATTATCATTATTATTAGTATTATTATTATTTTTTTTTGGGGGGGGGGGGGGGGGGGGGTCACTGAGTTTGGTGAATGAACGAGTTAATAAAGTAGTTTACCGAAACTTCTGAAAGTGAGTCTGTCTCCCTCTCTGGCCACGTTGACTTATAAAAACATTCTTTTTATTTCTATGATAGGAAAGGGTATAGCGTACTGACCTCAATATTATTTTGCTACCTTGCGTGTGATAGTCTTTGTCAGAAGCAAAGTAGAATACCGGTAGCAGTATTGTAAAATTAGCTCCTATATAATATAGGAAAGTATTCTTCTATACTTTTACAATGTTTCTTGGTAGACAACTAGAACGGCCATTCGGTATTTCAATGCAATATCTGATGTTAGCCGTGTAACCGGTCAAAAGTCCAATGAAAACTACTTGAATTATTGGAGCTAGCTTTCATGAGTCTTACTTATTTGAAAATCAAATTTAGTAATATAAATGTAATGCCACTCAGTTTTTTTATTGAAATATTGGCCTATAATTCATTAAGCAATTAAAATAAAAAATGGAAAAAAAAGGATGAAAGCTCAAGCGTAAAGCTTACATACGAAAATCCATAATCCTAATTATTATCATCAAAATTGGTGGAGAGTGGAGATGTTTGTAGATTGGCGTACCGGTAGCTTTCAGCACCTTTTATCAGCATTTCCAAGTATAAAAGTGAATCAAGCAAACAAACAAATATTTATACTCTATATATTACACTGACAATCAAAAACAAATTATGGTTCACCTTGCTACCATCGCTGAAAAAAAATCCCTAAACATGGGTCCCATTTTCAACAAAAATACCCCTAAATATGGGTCCACTTTTTCAATTTTCCAGGGTTTTTGCCATGCAAACACCCAAAAATGTTGTAAAATGGACTTTACTTTAAAAAAAAAATCAACCAAAATGACCCTTATAAATGGGTAGGGGTTTCGAGGCTTCAGCGGCAGCTCCCTGTTAAAACCAAATCGGAGTACCTCCCCCGGGATTAAATCAGAGATGTGAGACTGTCTCATGCAGACATGCCCCTCCCTGATTAAAATATATATGAGTAGTTACCATGCAATAAGAATGTTTGTCCACTGGAATTTCCTCAGTGGGTCTTCGTAATGAGACTATTTGAAACCTTTACCATCCTGTAAAAGAAAACGACAACTGTATATCGTAACGCGTACTATAGTACTGGATTCGATTAACTGGGTATTGTTCAAACTTCACGGATCGTTGAATCTCATCATCAGTTTATAGTTAATTGTATTCTTTTTGTGACGAGCAGCTGTATGATTAATACTTTCATGTATGAACAAGGGGATGTTTCCTTGACTATAATTTGGTGTAACTCATGGGACGCGAGTTAAAATCAACCATCGGCGCCGACTGAATTGGACAGTGGAAGTGGAATTCAGAATCAGTTTTTTGACTAGATGATACCATTTGGAATTGCAGTTGCAAGTTCGTGTTTCAAGCAATTTTAGCCACGCCAGTGGCATATTGCAAGTAAGTATCACAGTCAACTCCTTCGTGTATATTCAGTATGCTCTCAATTTACTCAATTTCATTGTCCCTCCCTCTCTCTGTATGATTATGGACCTCTGCCTTGTGCAGCTGAGTCTGAAATAAAGTTCTGAATTGAATTGTGTGTTTGTTTGACTCTCACCTGTACCTGCCCACTCTGTTGTCTGAGTCTTTCTCTTCTCTTTCTCTCTATCTAGCTTGGTCATGTTGGTCGAGCAGTCAAATGTGCAAAACCAAAAGACTAAAGTCTGTCACAAAAAAAGTAAGACTAGAGTCTAATGTTAAAAACTTAAAAAGACAATTTTGAATTTGCCTGATGAGTGATCATTCATTCTCACTCTCAGTATTGATGCTGATGAATCAATGATTGAATGAGGCTGAGGTCATCCTACTTCATCGACTATGAGTATGTGTGACAATCGGACAAAATAAGTAAATCAATGTACAAAAACATGTAGATCTAGGCCTACTGTATTGTGGCTGTTTGTTGTTTAATTTTTACAGCGCGTATCAATATCATTCAGTTGAGAATACACCATCGTTGTTGTGTAAGTTTCAGTATCAATTAAGTTGTGGCTTTGTCACAGGCCTGGTGATTTATAAAATATGATATTGATATCAAGTTATCAAATCTTACTGGACCGGGCATGCATTTCGCTGTCTGTGTCCTGTGTGCCATAGACAAAACAGTAGAGGCGCTGCTCCGAGAATGAGGATCGTTCGCATAAACGAGGGTATTCTTGTATACGCCGCGCGGACAAAATAAGAATCATACATTTTTTTTCTTGCAGGTTAAGGTGTCTGGTTCCCGCATAATGAAATACCCCCAGTTTACCGTCTACTTTCATGGGTTGTCCATCTTCCTGAGGATTTATCGCTCATAAATAATGTGAAAGTCTCTGTACAAAGTCAATGTAAAACGCATCAAGAAAATCATTGCTTAACCAAGAATTGTCAGCGAAAATTTGGACGATCCTTATTTTTATGGATGCGTCTGTCCGCGTTTACGAAGATGATCCTTGTTTGTGCGGACGATTCTTATTTACAAACCTTGCAAACTTCTGTACCTTCAACATTCGCTGGAGGAGTCTCTGTGTAACTGTTACTCATGCATCACAAAGAAAAATGCAGAATAATTGAGAGAGTCTTGTTCTTTCCTCTTTTTTTTCTTCTTTTGTGCAGATGCAATGGGTTATGTCTTCTCCAAGATCTGGAGTCTTTTCAACAATGAAGGTGAGAAACTGAGAACTGAGATATTAAAGGGCTCATTCGTAATGTACATGTACATGTACAAGGCATCGTAGAATAAGGGAGTTTACAGATAGCACATGGTACAAATGACCCCAAATATCCACAGATCGTTTACACATGGAGAAGTTCCACTTTGAGCATCTTATCTTATGTGCTTCATGAATACCTTTTGTTTGCCCTCTTGAAAAGAATACTTCCACCTGCGTATCATAGAATGTACCGTTGGTGCATAAATGAATAATGTTACATAACTTTCATAAGTGTTCATCTCTGTGGTTTTACTATTTTGGTACAAATGACCTTTATCTGCCCATGTGCAGATTGTATCTGTAAACTCCCTTATTGTAGAATTTATTGACTCTTTGACCCCCTTTCAAAGTATGATACTGTTTTCACACTGGCAATATTTTGCTTAACCCCGTACTATAGGTGGGGTTAAGTGGGGGGGGGGGGGGGGGGGTCTTAGCCCCACCTATAGTACGGGGTTAAGCCTATTCCACTTTCTGTTCAGACTGGTTTTTACCAAAGTGGGCTAAAGTTGGCTAACCCCACCTATAGTACGGGGTTAACTACATGTAACCCTGCAAAATAGCAGGGCTAACTCCGCAATTGTGGTGCTAACTCCTGCTAACCCCGCAATTGCGGTGCTAAGCAAATGAATGAGAACAGAAACGAAAAATAGTCCGGTACTACGCAATGGAGCGTATCGCAGCTGGCCAGATGCGAAGTATGTCCAATCATAACATTCACGATATCCGGGATTAAGAGTATAACTATAAGAAACTCTCGTTACAGTATGTACATGTACAATACATTTCAATCATCATCACAACTTCTGGTGGTACACCCTGTAATAATAATACAAATGGAAACCGATCCTTCATAGCATCAGCTCCTGCTCGTTAACGATTAGGAACATATGTCTTCTCTTGATATTAATAAACAGGCTTTCATGGGGAATTCAAAACCATTTGGGTTTGTTTGTTTGTTTGTTTTATTTCCGTATAAAAACACATCATGCATTCAGTACAATAATAACAAATAGAATAATGAATAACAAGATATAATAAACGTCTGGATAGCCCATATTCGCTGGTCTTCCATGGGGACCAGAATACAGTAAAACAATGCAATATTAACAACAACAAAGAAAAATGGCAAAACATAAATTCCTAAGCAAAATATAGTAAGAAATTAAATATCCAGGACAGACAGTGTAGAGAAAAGAAACAAGTATTTTTAGAAACAGAATTGTGTGAAGTAAACTTTAACAGATAACTCAAAAGTCTCTTAAATGAAGACAATGTATCACAGTTGCGTAACGCCAATGGTAATACGTTTTACAGTACTGAACCTCTATATACAAAGGTTCTTTTACAGTAATTTGTCCTGGGTTTAGGAAGGACAAGATTACCAGCGTGTCCACACACAAAACAATTTATCCCGAAACTCTATAACGAAACGTCCTATAAAGAATCATCGTATAAATTTCAGAGTGTCCACACACAAGAAACGTCGTATAAATAATCATCGTATAAATTCCAGGATGTCCACACACAGAAGAAAGTAATCCTGAAACTCTACAGCGAAATGTCATATAGGTGCGCAGTTTGCTACTGCGGTCTGGTCTCCTTTCGCTCGAGGTCACGTTGAGCCACGCCCAGTTAGTTACGCTAGTTACACTCCCCTGTCCACACACAACATTTTCTGTGATTAGGCGTGATTAGGTGTGATTCTTTCATTGCGAAACGATGCCCAAACCTGCGTTTTGTTAGACTAGTTTCGTTATACGACGTATCGTTGGTGAGCGTCCACACACACAATTTTCATTGTAAAACTATCGCGAAACGGTATCACTATCGCAAAACGGTATAGCTAATCACGCCTAATCACGGAAAATGTTGTGTGTGGACAGGGGGTAAATTGGCTTTGAAGTGTGTATCTAGTAGCTCTGGGTGTTTACCATATGCTGTCGATCATGAGGATTAGCCTTCAGTTTCATGACCAACAGGCCTTATGTAATGCCCTGCATTTCCACCCATCCCTCCATATGGCAAAGTTATTATCTCACACTTCCCTCACTTGAACCTGAAGACTCTCTGAGAGACTAGGGGGTATTTCTTGATTGGACCACTGGTTTGCAGTGTGTGAGACTTGTACACCCATTAATAGTTTTTCCACCAAGTCTGCACCAAGCCAGCCAATTATAACCCCCTGCACATGGAAATTAATTGACGACTACAGATGTGTATCTCCTTTTAAGACCTGTTTTTTATTTATTGCAGTAGTGTTGTATATTTCTGTATTATTTTTTTTACAATGTATATGTATTAGTGCTGTAGTCAAACGTTTAACCGTCCGGTATCCGACCGCCCATGGCGGATTCCGTTTTCAATTGGACGGTTTCGTTTTCCCGTTTTTTTTTTTTTTTTTTTTTTATAATTTTTTTTTTTTTATAATTTTTTTTTTTTTTTTTTTTTTTTTTTAAAGTTTTGATTTATGCCCCTCCACCTGGCACTATGCCTGGCAATGTCTCCCAGCTCAGTAGTCGGTGTGATGACTTACCACTTGGAAACTAGAACAACACTCCAATTTGTCTGTCATCTTGGTTTGAAAGTAATATTTGTAATAGATCTCAATATATATTCATCCAAGTTTAACACATGGTGTACCACAAGGTTCTATCCTAGGTCCTCTACTGTTTTTAATTTACTTTAATGATCTTACACATTATTCTAAAACGACATTGTTACTATTATTTGTGACTAGTTCACAAGCACAAATCGGCGCCTTCAGTTAAATCACCTTCCTGCTTAAATTTTTTTTTTTTTTTTTTTTTTTTTTTTTTTTTTTTTTTTTAAATAAATCGTTTAACCGAAAACCGTCCGGTTTTGACAGGCGGTTAAACGGAATTGGAGATATCCGTGATGTTACAGCACTAATATGTATGCTATCCAAGTTTGTAATGTAAAGCGCACAGAGAATTAATACTTTAATATGTGCTATAAAAATCCAACATTAAAAATTTAACAGATCTCTGCATAGCAAAGCATTCCAAGAATGCTCACTTTTCTGTGTGTTTAGAATATAGAGAATAAGTATTTTTTTCTTTTGAATAAAGCTTCACATTCATGTATCTGACTTCTAATACAGAGATTGAATAGTGACCTTTGTAAATGTGCCTTTCGCCATTCATTTACACTTGTCACATAAAACTACATCCCAATGTGCACGTTTAAAATAGCTCAAGGCTATCTGTTGTTAGAATTGAGCGGCTCTTCCTAAAATGACATAAAGAATACAACCTATTATGCTTAAAAAGCCCCCCCCCCCCCCTGCAAAAGAAACCAAAAAATTATTGTGGAACAGTTAAAGACCGCATCTAACAACTTTTCACACCATACATCATGCACAAATTGGAAATGGGCTTGAACTCCTTGGAAGTTTGCGGTTACCCTACCGGTATCCTTTATTCCTTATGTACATGTACATGCAGCTAATGGCTGACTAGAAACCTTTCCACAATTCCAAATCCTGTAACAATGCATGAAACAGAAATAGCTATTCTGGTAGAACTGATTTGGGTATCGTAAGAAGTAGTCCAAATTTACGTTTCATTCTGTATGTCGTGCAGATTGATTGTCATTGTATTTAGGCCCAATTGTATGAGAAGTCTTCTTATTTATTTTGTGTACAATAGAGCGGTATGCCGGTATCGACTGACCATGTGACTCAACTTGCGTGTACACTCCCACAAGCTATTGTAAACAAATCAAACTGTACTATAATTCAGGTTTTAAAGATTAAAATTGAGTTCTGGTCCCTGTTTCAGAAATTTTGTTATCAATAACAAGTTGCAATAACTGTTCTAAAAGCTACTGAAATTGATGCACGTGATAGGCTGTGAGCAAATTTGATAAAGAAAATTTGAAATTTGATACCTGTACTTGACTGTTATTGATAACAAGTTTTATGAAATTGAGGCCCTGGTCATGTAACTGCAATGTGAAACAAGATTGGAAAGGTTGATTACCGGTTGAGTATCGGGGTACATGTTACATGTATACTGTAAGGTTTTGGAATCATAAAAAATGATAAGCAATCGGCTCGGTCTTACTAAGGGTGCGTTTATAAGCTTAAATTTTGAAGGCAGAATGAGCGATTTGTAACGCTCATCGTAAACGCTCATCGTAATCGCAGTTCCACAATGTACTGTTTATGCTCACTTCTCTGGCTCAATCTCCAGGCAATTCTCCCTGGGTGGCCTTAATTGGCCTTGCAGCTGAATTCGCAAACCTGCACTGTGCATGCTACATAGACCCACTAGAGGTCAGTGCGTTGACCCCATTTAAACTTGTTTACAAATTGTAAACGCATCTTTTTGTGAGTTTACGATCGGCGATCATGATCGCCGTTTTTTCGGTGATTCTACAAAAGTGAGAAAGGACGCAACCGTGTTTTAAACTAAACGCGTAACAGATGCCTGATTCTGGCCAGAAAAAGTTAAGCATAAACACGCCCTAAGTGTCACAATGAATGTGTACACAAACATGTTGTATATTACTCTTCCACACTATAGAGTAACATAAAAAGAATGAAAAAGCTCACAAATTATTTTTAACCTTTCCAGGAACTTAATCTTCTCTTTACCGTAATCTAGAAGTGCTTCTATTTACTTTGGTGAGCATGCACACAGTGTAACTGTAAGGGATTAGCTAAAATGAAGAATATCAGCTAGAGAAGGTTGACTTGCTGAGTAGTGAGTGTTATGGGGACAAAGTGAGTGACAGTAGACAAGGCCAGTATTTGAAATGTGGTTTAATTTGGAAACCTCTTTATTTTAAACATTATGAAGACAATTAAAATTTAATAAAATCCCATGCACTGTACATAAATTTCAATATGATTTCAGAAAGTTTGGTCCAAATTTTAACTTGGGTTCTTGATACATTTTGATTTGCATGCTGTGAATAGAATTGGTTTATGATGTACCGTACACTGAATGATGTCTGGGTGTCTTTTAATCAGCCAAGCAATTGATGATATGATTGTCTGGCTCCACCTGCCCAGACCAGCAAACAATGCAAGTGATTGGTACATGTATGATTTCAAACCAGCAGTTATTTGGCTAAAAGCTTGTGCATGGTGCATTTGATTCAACAACAGTATCCACTATCTAGTAGTTTATGAAGATACATGTAAGGCTGCGTTTATGCTTGATTTTTGAAGGTAGAATGAGCGATCTGAAATGCTCATCGTAAACGCTCATCGTAATCGCAGTTCCACGGTGTACTGTTTATGCTCACTTCTCTGGCTCCTCCAGGCAATTCTCCCTGTGTGGCCTTAATTGGCCTTGCAGCTGGATTCACAACCTGCACTGTGCATGCTACATAGACCCACTAGAGGTCAGTGCGTTGACCCCATTTAAACGCGTTTACCCCATTTAAACGCGTTTACAAATTGTAAACGCATCTTTTTGTGAGTTTACGATCGGTGATCGTGATCGCCGTTTTTCGGTGATTCTACAAAAGTGAGCATGGACGCAACCGTGTTTTAAACTAAACGCGAAACAGATGCCTGATTCTGGCCAGAAAAAGTTAAGCATAAACACGCTCTAAGTGTACTTCTCAATCATAAGAATTTGTGTAATACTTTGTCCAGACTTGTATATTTTTCATACAGTATGTGTACAGAATATCATACTCTAAAATGAAAGAAAGAAAATGATATTCAAAACCACGTCATGAAAGTCAATTCCAATATTAGCATGTACTGAACATTGTACATGTAGTGACTAAAGACAAATTTTCTCCTGCGCCAATTGCTCTGTGATAAATACGCTTGGCATCATTTCATCAAAGTTTGTGGGTTAGGGTTGCGATTTATGGGGGTCGGTTTAGGTTTTGGGTTTAGGGTATGGTACTTTGGTATAGTGTTTGGTCCAGTGTTGAAGTTAAGATTTAAGTGTAGATTTAGTGGCTTGAGTCAATTGACATACTGTAGAGCACTTATTACAGGACCAAGCTTAGTACGGGTTTCAACAGTGCATAGACTACCTCACACAAACAAGTACATTGTACTTATTGTGTACAATATGGCTTGAGTTTGTAGGAAGAAAACAATCAAATGTGTCATGATCATTGGTACCACATTACTTCCTGAATTCTCCTTAAAGTCATTCAAGTACAATGTAGACCTTTACAGGTCGTACATGTGTGTTTTTGACACTCCAACCCACACAGGAAGCTCTGCTGGGAAACAACTTTCTTTACCTGTTCCAACCACAGTCTTGAATTCAGACCTTACAATACGGTATTCCTTTGTTGCCCATATGGCCCGCATGCACATACCAACTACATGTACACTGTACGTATTGCTCTTCAAATTGGCAACGATATATTTTCTTTTATGCTACATTGTTTAAATAAAAAGCAATGTCTCAGAAAATATAATTGGGTAGGAATTTTGTTCAAAAGTTGAAAAAAATTGCCAAGTTTGATGGAAAAACTATGATTTTTCAACCTCTCAATAATTTGCCAATATTTCCCTTTTTTTCCCTTTTTCCCTTTTTTCCCTTTTTTCCCTTTTTTCCCTTTTTTCCCTTTTTTTCCCTTTTCCCTTTTTTCCCTTTTTTCCCTTTTTTAAAAAGTTCCTATCATCAAACACATTGTATTCATGCAATAAATATGGACACGTAACTTTTTGTGTGCAAATTTTTCCCCTTTTCAGTTTTCATGAATCTGGTATATTTTTTTAAGGCTCTGAATCAAAAGTTACCAGCCAAACTACACAATGTGGAATGCTTACAATACAAGTCTTGAAAGGGTTAGAAAGGCCATTACAAGTAGTTTTTGTGGGCTTTTTAAAGTAAATTAGGTTGTTTTCTTTATTTCATTTTAGGGATGAGCTGCTCACTTCTCAAGTAACAAAAGATAGCCTTGAGCTATTTTAAACGTGCAAATCGGGATGTAGTTTTATGGCTGCCTAAATTGGGTCAACCTTTGTTCAATGCAATGCATTGTAAAAGTAGATCCTGAAAGTGAGGGAACAAATAGAAGTCTTTTATGATATTCTATATGAATAACAGAACTGTTGGTATTGCACAGTGTGTAAAAAAGCAATCGCATGTATTTCTTGAGGTACCCCAATCTGGAAAATCAAAAGCCTATATATACATGTACATGTACTACTGTACTACTGGTTAAAGGTAAAGACCAGTATTCGAAACGCCCCAATTTCCAAAAATGAAATGGAAGCTCTCATTACCAATCATGTGAAAGAATATGTTTTGACTAATACATGATGATAAAAAATTTGCCGGGAAACCGCCTACTAATTCATATATTTGGTAAATTTGTTTCTCTCATGGTCTGTGAGAGATATAGGGTAGTCCCATATACATCTTTCTGTGTATAGGGCTTGTAACTTTACGAAGAATGGGCCAAATTTCTTATCATTTTGAAGATTCCAGAACCTTGCAGATGCTAGATGCTAGATGATCAACCTTTTCTGATCGATTCCACAACGTTTCTTTCACAATGCAATCGCATGACCATAACTGGTCTTTACCTTTAAAGTGTAAATGTACATGTACCGTATACCTCTAGGTATAATACAGTGCATGTACACATGTACAAAGTATGTATTATTAATTTAAAGAATATAAGAAAAAAGGATGAAAATGTTCTAATTTTATGCCCTCGATCATAATTTTATAAAGATGGGATAAAATGTGCAAAGTTTTTGCCCTTTTATCAGATCCAAGATGCAACCAGAATCAAATATTGGATGTCTACTAATTATTGAATTGTTCTCTGCAATTGAATGGAGGAACATGATAATATAAAATAATCTGAAATTGAATGTCTTTTATGTTAGACAAAAAAAACGGGTTGGTTGAACAAGTGCACAGTGAATTGAAAAGGATGTGCATGTATGAGTATAAAGTCATAATGTAATATTGGACAACACTCCATGGATTCTCTCTTTAAAAGTGTTATCTGTCAAACAATTGCATATTTGTTCATTTGTTGATATTAAAAAAATTTGTATTTTTTTGTTGTTTTCAGAACACAAGGTGATCATAGTAGGCCTGGATAATGCAGGCAAGACAACAATACTCTATCAAATGTAAGTAGTTCTTGCATTTCAGTGTTTTTAAAAAAATTATATAATGAAAGAGTATATGATGTGCAGTTCGCTATTGCAATTGACGAGTCACAAAATTGAGTAGCAAGCATGATGATGTTTCCTTGTGTTTAGAAGGGAATTTAAAGGTACTACAGTATGTCCCATTTGCAGGCCCCAAAAAATGAAAAAGTTAAATTCCAACTAAATTTGAAAGATAATACTAATTTAGAACTTCCCTAAAAAAAGGTGGTGCTTGAAAATATCTTCAAGTGGGAAAATAATGACTATTAGTTGTCAAATCGACTTTAGGGCTATAGAGCCCAAAAGTAATAGTCTTGATTTTCAGACAATTGTACCGAATGGTCATACGTTTTATGCTGCGCAAAGATTCAATCAGTTTAATCTTGACCATCACAAGAAGTGGATTATTGTAGACAAATGCTCATGTACCCTTTACAACTCTTTTCATGTACGTTATTACCAAAGAAGAAAAAAAGCCAGTCAGTCACTCAATAGTGTCTGACAGTGAAGTCTAGCAAATAAACGGTTTTCCTTGCATAATTTGAATATGAGGACACTGCTAACGTTTAAATTTCACAGATAGGACATACAGGACATATTCATAATTCCTGCAAAGTTCTACAGCATTTGAGGTAGGCTGCAAAAGGGACATAGTACCTTTAAAGAGAGGGAGAAGAGAGAAACTACTACTGAGTGCATGTAGATGATATGATGATCTTTGACTTTGTGTACATTATTTCTGCCATTGTTATCTATCTGTTTGTATTTATTTTTGAAATCCAACCACAAGTTTTGATTGTAATAAAGAAATAATGATATGTTAATATCATTATACTACACATTCGGGCGAGGTAATCCTAAAGCATCCACCTGTCTGTAGAGCCCACTCCCTCCCTGCAACATAATTTTTCAATTGATTAAAAACAAAAAAATTATGTATTAAACCTGTTATTTTTTTACATAATTGTATCATAATTACATGTACAATTTTACATGTACATGTATGTCACTATCTTCTCCTTGATTCTCTTTCTCAGCTTGATGAACGAGGTGGTGCATACGTCGCCCACCATCGGTAGCAATGTGGAGGAAGTCACATGGAAAAACATACACTTTTTAATGTGGGACATAGGGGGGCAGGATTCGCTACGCACAGCATGGAGCACGTACTATGCAGGCACACAGGTAAGGACCAAACTAAGATTTGCCAGCATTCTAAAAAGGATACTAACTTTAATACATGTTTGTTTTTACCTGTCTGCTATTTGTATACTGTACATGTACTTGTAACTAATCAGCCAAGGGAGGACTGGAGGACTTGGTAATGACGATTAATGCCTTAATAAAGGGCACTAGCGCTAGTAGCGCATCAAATTGGTTTGAACTCTGGATCTTCCGGTTACGAGACCCCTTCTCTACCACTGAGCCATCGCGCCTCCCCCTTTTGACCAGGTTTTAGTAAAATTAAGTCCACTGATTCAGCATGGAGTACCAATCTTCTAATCTAGTAAAAATTGCCATCATTCTGTAACCCAATGAAGGAACAAAAACTATGTTGTCAAGTTCTCACTTTCACTTCATGATGGTAATCATTTCATTTGATATTTTGTTACAGAATAATAATAATAATAATAACGACAGTGTAAAATTTAATAGAGTGTAAACACCTTCCAGGGACGCTCATGGCTCTGCTGCTAGCTCAGCAACAGTTCTCTTTAATACAAGTAAAGTAAATGTTTATTAAAATTTGATAATAGAGTTATACCATCAGAAACTCAAAAAACAATTTTGAACAAGAAGGACTCTTGTTAAGAATGATACAGGATGTGTAATTTGCACCTGTAGGTACTGTACATTCTCCTACATTGCAGATACTCTGTCATGAATAATAAAGTACCATTTCCTTTGAAAAAATCCTGCTTGTGAGGTTATAAGTTGATGTTAAATCTACTCCAGTGTGACGACTACATATATACCGTACAGTATGGTATTTCCCTTTAGCGCTACATGTATTCATAAAATAGCACAGACATCAAATGCTCCACGTGTGCATTCCGATTGTGATTCATCGGGAATGTGTAAACACTAAAACAGTGTTCATATCAAGGTGACTTTCGGTTCTTTTGTGTTCGGGTAAAGTAGTGAATGAGATGGAATTGATGACGTGTTTGTTTTCCTTTTATACATGTGGGGGAATTCCCCAAGGTTATACATAATATGGGATTTTCTTTTATTGTTACTCAATATGTACAATGTAAAGCACAGATTTACATGTTCAGTACATGCATACCACTGTAGCAGGAAATAATAGTACCAAGGCTTGCATTTGCATGAACTTTTATATTTTATATTTTATATAACCACACTACAGTTGTAGGTTTTGTTTCACTGTATTCTTGAATGATACACTGTATGTAGATGTTCACTTTTTTTGAGTGAACATTGAGTGAAAGAAAGAAATTTGAAATTTGAAGTACCGGTAGTAAAACACCATGAAAATGAAAAAATAAATTCTTCTTAACGTATTCACTGGCACATTGCATATTTGCAGACCTGTATAAATGTCATACAGAAAATATGCGTACCTGTACATGTACAGTATGTACCAGTAGGTCCATTACTGTGCATGTATTCACTCTATACATGTACATCTACATGTAGCTGGGTGAAATACTCTGTTGGTCTCTTCACAGTATTACATACACAAGTACAGTATGTACACGTTGTATGATACATATTTATTTGAATAGGTAGGCCTTCTTTGTGTATCAATGTTATCCTAGGAATCAGAGTGACTCACTCTAATGTCATTGCTTTTGCATATTTGTTGAGATATAAGTTACATATCATTTCAAGGTACAATAGAAATGTAGGTCAATTTGTATGGGTGTGTGAAATTATCACTCGTGAACAAGTGTACATGTACCATAGTTTGCTTGAGCATCAGTTAAGGGGGAAGTCCACTATGGCATAAAAAGAAAGAAAACTAGATTTGTAATACTTGTTTGGAAGTTTGGAACAAGTATAGGTGGGCTGATCCAACAAAAAATTGAGACAAAATGAAGGGTACATTTGAGATAGCTTTTTGTCTCAGCTACAACATACTCGAAGTTCAGCGTAAATGAAGCTAAAACGACGTAGATATTGCTCGCGAAAGACGGGAATGTAGAATCAAGTTTTGAGAAAAAGTCATGTCCCATAGAGAATACACGCAAAATGTGAAAAATTGACATGCCTCATTTAATCGCAAAAATACGCCATGATGCCTTTGTCAAAATGAAAAACTGGATTTGTAGAGAATTGTCTCAGCTAGAACATATCAAAATTTTGAAGAAAATCAATCAATTTTTACAAAGATACAATCAATTTTCCAAAAATATGCTGACGTCATAATATGCAAATTGAAATTTTGAGTTCAGAGGCCATTATAATGAGGGTGAAATGAGACATGAAATCATATCTCCGATTCATACTCAATCAAAATAAGAAAAAAAATTGGGGTCACCTTGCATCCTAAAGAGCTACAATGGATTTTGCATAGGCATGTTTTTGCCCATATATGCTATGTATTACAAGAGCTCGCGCGCACAGAAATTTATCTTTAACGGTCGATCATTAAAAACCCATAAAAACCCATAAAAAGTAGAGCAACAAATCCATGACAGCTCTACAATGTACATGTATAGGAAAATCTAGGTCACCTTGTTAAACTGCTGTGGTTTTTATATAATGACCTACATTTATTTTACTGGTAATTAATACCCTTCACATTTCCGTATCTTATAACACAGTAAATATGTGCAGGGCTTTGGTTGCGCGCAGTTGCCATATATATATATATATACGTAATTACGTACAAACAATTATTTTAAAGACACAGAGCGGTTTGCTACTTCATATCTGAACGAGCCTTTAGGGATAAGAAAGTTACGCAGTTTTAAAATTGTAATCATCAAACACTGTTCATCTCTTCCATATGCTGTTGTGTAAAATGTGTTAATTTGCTATTCTTTTATTCATGAGGCATCTGCCCTTGTAGATTACTGGAGTAGGCCTACTGGACACATTCTTAAGATACACACACCTGTACAAAATTATTCAGAGCAACTGAGAATATTCAATTTCTATAAAATTGCTATATTATGTCAAACAAATAGAGGGATGCCCTCAAAGTTCATTTTACATTGTATGTGGATGTGCATTACCGGTATTAAAGATGTCAATTTTTATTTGATTGATTGCAATTTTAATTAAAAAGTTCATAACTTTTTGTTTTCTGTCATATCCTGTCATACAATGTACTGTACATTGAGATGTACCTTCCTAAACTTCCCTGATATGTAATTTTGTGTCATTTGTCTGCCGTTTAAAAATTAAACTAACGTCTGGATGGACAACAACAAGAACAACAGACAAAAATAAATAAATTGTGATTTAAATTTTTAAGATAGCCGTACAACTGTATGTATCGCAAAGACATGAAATAATATTTCTTTCCCATACTTCACCATTATTATTAAATTGCCCTTTGCAAATAAGTTAGTGATTATTGTACCATCCTGTATAATTGTCTTGACTTGGTTTCCTTGTTTCTTGTTTCAGTTTATCATTCTAGTAATTGATAGCACCGACAGAGAAAGGTTGCACATAAGCAAAGCAGAACTCTACCAGATGTTAGCTAATGAGGTAAGATAATAGCAGTCTTTGAAAGTTAAAGGTAAAGACCAGTTTTGGAAACGCCCCCCTCTAAAAAATGAAATGGAAGCTCTTATTACCAATCATGTGAAAGAATATGTTTTTACTAATACATGATGATACAAATTTTGCCAGGAAACCGCCTACTAATTGATATATTTGGTCAATTATTATATCTATCTGGACGGGATAGATATCGCGCACATGTCGCGTAGTCCCATACATCTCTGTACAGTGCTTGTAACTTTACCAAGACTGGGCCAAATTTCTTATCATTTTGATGATTCCAGAACCTTGCAGTACACACCAAGACTTATATGCTAGATGATCAACCTTTTTTGATCGATTCCACACAGTTTCTTTCACAATGCAATCGCATGACCAGAACTGATCTTTACCTTTAATACCTAGGCCTACAAAATGTAAAGTGGATTAAGTATAGGGTCATTCCATGTCAAATCACCCGAAAAATCTGAAAATCTTAACCCGACCATTTTTTATTTTGATGAAACTTAGTATACTTGTTGAGTGTGATCTCACAGCACCAAATCCAAAATTTTAGGTCAATCGGGTGAGGGGTTTGGGTGATACGGCCCACCAAATTTTGAGATTTTTTCAAAAATGTATGTTGTACTGTGCATATTGCATGTATTCTATACATTATAATAGGGTTTATTGTGAATATCTGTGAGCATGAATACTTTCAATCCTTATTGCTCCTAAACAAAAAATATTATATCTCTGAAACTTTTACATGTTTTAGTGAACATGTCAGAGATTACATTTCATGAAAAATGTTGTCAAAGTTACGTGATCCACAAGGTCCATTTCAAGGTCAAATCTGAGGTCAAGAGGTCAAAGTACCCCAACATGTACAAATCTTCAAAATGGTGGCAGATTTGGAATCCTTATTGAATACCCTTTCCAACAATACAAATTTTGTGAAGATTGACCCATTAGGTCCAGAGATACAAGGGTTCAAAGGTAGGCCCGCCACCCCCATTTTTGAAAAAATCTCAAAATTTGGTGGGCCGTATCTCCCAAACCCCTCACCCGATTGACCTAAAATTTTGGATTTGGTGCTGTGAGATCACACTCAACAAGTATACTAAGTTTCATCAAAATCAAAAATGGTCGGGTTAAAACCATTGGGTGATTTGACATGGAATGACCCTATAACAGATTTCTACGAAATTTTGAAAGAAACCTTTGGATTTAAAAAGAGTACTTCAAAGAAGTGCTCTGTAAAAAAAACACTGATGCAGCTGTCGGGCTATTGTACTCAACTCATTACCTTTAAAGCCTTTTTTGTTGTTGTTACAGCATATGGGGCTTCATCATAAAGCCCTAAGCACTGCATAATGAATGAATCAATAGAGAATAGAAGTTCCACGTGTATACATGGGGAGTGCCCTCCCTGCTTGTGCTCGATTTGCATGCATGCACGCTCCTGTGCTAGCTGTGATTTGGTATGTGACGTCCACCGTTCATCCACTGGTGACAGCGCTCCCACTACATACCTGAGTGAATATCACTCGTAATGTACATACCGGTATGCAGGTGATTGCAAAATGAACTGGAAAATCAATGCTTTCAAATTTTGATTTATCATTAATCAACCCCAGATTATGGGTTGTTCACTCCTATTTCAAAGGGGATAAATGATTATAATTGCACCTGTATTAATTTAATATTCAGCATGTTTATGACTGTGGTACATTGATTTAATGTCATATCTCCCAAACATATGGTCACCATTTTGATTAAATTTCATCTTCTTTGATCAAAATTTGATTTGGTGTTTATAGTCGCATTTTAATGAAAAGTAGAGTCAAGTACTGGTACATAATGTACATACATATGGTTATATTTTTATTGAAAGTATACAGTCTAGTCACATTTTGATTAAAATGTCAATTTCATACTCAATATCTATTGACATCAAAATTGGATCTGTACTTTGTACAGCCTTCAAAATGACATGGAACCAATAACATGCAACAATGATTAGAAAAACAATACTATATAATGTCAATTTTGTGTGCATGTTATTGGTTCTCTGTCATTTTGTTTGCTATACAATGTACAGGTCCAATTTAGATGTCAATTGATAAAGTATAAAATTGACATATAGCCTTGTTTTTGTAATTATTTTTGCATGTCCATGTTATGCACATGTCAAAAAAGGTTGGCATGATATTTACAATGCTGTTTCATTGTGACAGGTTGTTAATTGAAAAGCTTAAAAGATGAATCACTGTATCATAGACTATTTAGGTCGCGCGAGTCACACCGTGCTTACATGTAAGTGTACATTATGCATAGCCACGGCAATGATTAAGATGTCATTTTATTCCCTAATAGCTAACCACTACTGCATGTAGATGGGTGGAGGGTTTTATAATGCTCTAATGGTGACTAGTGCATACATGTAGATCAAAGGGTGACCTGAAATTTAATCCAAAGTGCTACCATACCATGACTACCATACCGGTACTCAAAATATTCACTAGAAAGAGAGAAATATCTCACAGCGTTATGTTTTTGTTATCTTTCTGATTTCCTTTTCACCCCCCCCCCCAAGTGTTAGAGATCCTTAATTATGATAGTAAAATAGAACTTGGAATTATACTTGTTGAATGGGTCCCTAAATTTGTCAAGTCATGATAAGAAATGATATTAAATCTGGATTTATGTATCACTTAATAGTTAATATTAAAGAAATACCATCTCTAAGCACTTTACAGATAAGATCACACCGTGCTTAAATGTTCTTTATGCATAGACACAGCAATGATAAAGATATTGTTCTGTTCCCTAATTAGCTAACCACTTCTAGATGGGTGGAGGGATTTATAATGTTCAAATTTTGTCTAGTGCATACATGTAGATCAAAGGGTGACCTGAAATTTAATCCTAAGTGCTACCATACCATGACTACCGGTACTCAAATACTCAAAATATTCACTAGAAAGAGAGAAATATCTCACAGCGTTATGTTTTTGTTATCTTTCTGTCTATGCTTCATATTGATTTCCTTTTCACCCCTCCCCCCCCCCCCCCAAGTGTTAGAGATCCTTAATTATGATAGTAAAATAGAACTTGGAATAATACTTGTTGAATATGTCCCTAAATTTGTCAACTCATGATAAGAAATGGATTTATGTATCACTTAATAGTTAATATTTAAGAAATACCATCTCTAAGCACTTTACAAATTACAAATAGGATCACACCGTGCTTAAGTGTACATTATGCATAGCCACGGCAACGATTAAGATGTTATTTTGTTCCCTAATAGCTAACCAAGTAGATGGGTGGAGGGTTTTATAATGCTCTAATTGTGACGAGGGCATACATGTAGATCAAAGGGTGACCTGAAATTTAATCGTAAGTGCTACTTAAAATATTCACTAGAGAGTAGAGAGAGAAATATTTTTTTACAGCGTTCTGTTTTGATTAAGTAATATCTTTCTGTCTATGATTCACATTTTCTGACCCCCTCCACTCCCCCCCCCCCCCCCAAAGGGAAAATGTTAGAGGTCTATCCTTGATAATTCTGATTACAAAGAAAGAAGTCATTGGAATTTAACTTGTTGAATATGTCCTTGAATTTTTCCACTCATGTTTTGAAATGATTATAATAAATCTGGATTTATATCGCATCTCTATACTATACCATCTATAAGTACTTTATAGATACGATATAAAGGATAATGTACCAGGTACATGTATTTTGATGTTCTATCTGTGATTTCCATTGAAATGCGGTGTGTCATATTATCTGAAAGGAACATCAAATCAAAGGCCAACCAGAGATAGTTTTGTATAAAGCCTTGAGCACACATAGGTGTGTGTTTGGTAATTACTTGTAATACACATCTTCATCGCACCATGGTTATGTTTGCAATCAGGATTTCGCTGAAGTTCAGGGTTAGGGCAAGGGTTATAAAATAGTGTTTGATACAGGGTTCTGAAGTTGGGATTCCAGTAATTGTTTGAAATTGACTGCAGAGCAATTGCCACAGGGGCATGCGCTGTACAACCAAATTAAGAATCTATCCCCGTGTCCACACCCAAAAAATTCATCGTATAGCTAACCCGTTTCGAGATAGACATACAATGAAATTTCGTGTGTGTACGCTTACTAACACTACGTATATTGTGCTTCGTGATATTTCCCTCAAACTTTCATTGATCAGTTTCTCTAAACTTATCATAATCAGAGTGGACCCCCCCCCCCTTTACGACTGGTTCAGATATGATACAGTAAACTGAAAGTTTTTTAATAGACTGTGTAAATGGAATAGCAACTGTGCAAAACAAAAGTCCTGGCATCGTCTCGATAAAGAATAACAGAATGTTTCGTGTGTGGAAGTATGGTCGAACTAGAACGGTATACCGTAGTAACTGGGCGGGGCTTAACGTGACCGCGCACAAAAGGAGACCTGACCTGTCATTTCCGCTTCCATGTCATGACCGCTGTGCTGTGCAGTAGTAAACTGCGCACTTATACAACGTTTCGCTGTAAAGTTTTGGAATTACTTTTTCTTGTGTGGACGCCCTGTTCACTATACAATGATTCTTGTGTGTGGACACCCTGTTCGTTATACGATGATTCTTTATACGACGTTTCTTTATACAACATTTCTTTATAGAGTTTCAGGATATTTTTTTTTTGCGTTGACACGCTGCATGAAATTAACATTGTACTTTTGTTGCTTTTGATAGGACCTGAGGCATGCTGCGGTGCTCCTCTACGCAAACAAACAAGACCTCAAGGGCTCCATGTCATCGGCGGAAATCTCACAACAGCTCAACCTAACATCAGTCAAAGATCATGCGTGGCATATACAGGCCTGCTGTGCTCTTACAGGAGAGGGGTGAGTAAAACCTGCCATTAGTGGACACCTTTATTAAGGCCACCTGTCTATAGTGACCATGTCTTTAAAAAAAATGACCACTTGTCTGTAGTGGTTGCATTTAGCCACCTGTCTTATCAAAGATCATGAGTTGCATAAACAGGCCTGCTGTGCTCTTACCGGAGAGGGGCAAGTAAAACCTGTCTATAGTGAACCCTTTTTAAATACCAAAATGCCACCGGTCTATTGACCTCTGACCATGGGGTCAGTTTGTATGCAGTTCACTACATTTAAACAACAGTTCAAGGATAATGAGAATGCACATGTACAGGTACATGTATTCTGTGCGGGAGAGGGGTTAGTAATGCCGTACTTTATGTTTATATTAGGGTCTTTCTTAGGCAGAATGAGAACACCTTTTTATCAAATACCATTAGTTGCATAAACATGTGTTTGATTGGAGGACTTGTGACCCATTTGACCAGCTATCACTCCTTTTTTTATGACTGGGCTCCTTTCTCAGATGATTTGATACCTGTTTCAACATTCAGAGACTGTACATGTATGTTTAGTCTTGAATGATAAATGATGCAACTGTCTTCTTTTCAGACCAAATATCATTTTTTTGAAGACTCGGGTCTTTTCTCAGATCATTTGATACATGTTTCACCATTCAGAGAGTACATACTCTTGAATGATAATGATGCAACTGTCTTCTTTCTTCCCCATCTCCCTGTAGATTATATCAAGGCTTAGAATGGATCGCCAATCAGATCAGAAGATGACGAAGGTTTCTCTCCCATCTGTCACTCTGTCTCTTCAATGTCCTCCATTCTCGTAAGTATGATGAGAATAATACTGTATGTGAACAAGGTCTTAGAGATACACATGTACATTATACATGTACTTCTAAGGTCTTGATCACACATGACATTGTAAATGTCTGAGAAAACACTGTCCTATTTTTTTGCAGTGTCCTTATATTTTCATTTACATGTCGATGTACTCCTGTACATACTACTTGTTTTGTTTTTTGTGCATTAACTGTGTACTTGCAGATTTGTATGTTGATATGCTTGGAATATGAATTTTCTGGCTACCGCAACTACACTATTTGTCCATAGAGGGCAGCACCATCCACGGGTATATTTGGCAAAGGCACTTCTGGTTCTCATACAACAACAAAATAGGTAGAGAACAGGAAATTCTGATGAAAATTGTAGTTTCGGATCCAATAAAATATAATCAACAGATTGTGATGGTGCCTAGACACATCTCATCAAATCATCGGGGGAAGTTCATGAAACCTGAACGATAGTTAAGTAAAATGAGGAATTAGTATAGTATTAATGACTGCTTTGAGAGAAATAGTTGTTTTTATTCGCTCAAGGGAAGGTTAGAATTGTGCTATTGCCTGAGGCGTGCCGAGGACAATAGCCCAATTGTAACCTTCCCGAGAGCGTATAAAAACAACTATTTCTCGAATATTAAAGCAGTCATTAATACTTTTATATGCCGAAAAAATTATGACACCACCTTGGCCTTTTTTTAGTTTATCTGCACGGTTGTTTTTTATGATTGTTTCTTTGAGAGTAGACTAGATCTAGATCAGTACTAGTCTAAGCAAGATATTTTTACAATTTTGGGGGTGGGCCGGCCCTGTGGGGAATATGGAGAAAAAACTGCCCTTTCATATGACACCTCACTTATTGAGTATCACCTTCAGGATCACGAGCAATATTAGTTTGAATCTCTGGTAATTAAAACATCGACCAATCTAGCATGATCGAATGCGCAATGGCCAATGGAAATGCATAGGAATGTGTGTAATCTCTACGGGAAGGATCTGCATCTGTCCGTGACGTACAAATCACTACAATCACCAGCATCTGGTTGTCGCGTACTAGAATCTAGATCTAGGGCTACTGAAAAAATTATGGAAGATTTCACGTACCCTTTTTGGAGTTCTTGCTGTCAGCATGTCTCGCATTTGATCCTCATCCAGAAGTCAAAATCTTGGGAGCGTTTCTAATTCAGCCATTTTGGCCTAGTACAGTCGGTCGTCTGCACTGGCACAGCTACTAGGGAGTCGGGCTAACTCGCCCCACGGGACATCTCGCCCCAGCGAGATATCCCGACATGATTTATCGATCGAGAGATACCAGTAGTCTGCTAATTAACGGCCAGGATGAAAGAATGTGGACAAATATCAGCCATATCGTCTAAGATGTACAATGAGCACAAACATATACACATTGGTATCTCTCGATCGATGAATCGTGTCGGGACATCTCGACCCAGTCTTTGATGCTGGGGCGAGATGTCCCGTGGGGCGAGTTAGCCCGGATTCGCTGCTAGTTGTATTACAAAATTGGTAAAATATAGCGACCAATTCTTCGCACACGTACGGTATCCTCGATCGCTCAGACCATTTTTTAACATGTAAACCTATGGGGTAACCATGGAGACTGAACTATTTTCCCAATAACCATGGTTACTGGGATTTTAGAACTATTTTAACCATGGTTACTGGGAATTTTACGGAAATAGTTGAAGTTTATGAATGCAATTTCGACCAATCAGATGGCTGGATTTCTTAAGTGAGGTATATAATTTATACTGCTGTACGCCGTCTTTCCCAGTATTGTATCTGTGTATGTGCTGACCTGCGCAGTGTGGGATGAAAGTCGCCATCTGCTGTTAAACGTTGTATTTGCAGTAGGGTCACATGAAATTGAAAATGTTCCTCTCAAGAATATTAATGTTAATCCCTCTTTTATCATTTCTACACCTTCCTTTTTATCTTATTTCTCTACAGAGTCTCTTTTTGATATCCTAGAAGTAGCTAGCAGAAGAGCCTTTTGTAGTTCTACTCAAACTCTCGACAGTGGGAACAGGCCAGCAAGTATCCAGCTCTCCGGCAAACTTGAAAAGTCTCCACAAGTCCCCAACTCTGATGGATGTATTGCCAAGTACAGTAATGTAAGAACAGGGTCGTGTACATGTAAATAAAAGCCAAGAATGGTCAACCAACACTTTGCCACGAAGTGATCTTAGGAGCAACAGATCGTCACTTATTACATAGGAAAGCACATGAGCTACTCCTCTAACGACAGAATGTGTTATACTGAATCCTGTTCACACTGTTTAGATTTTGAGTGTCTACATACTGTCTGTCTTTGGACACATTGCCCTACCATAGAGAACACACCACAAAAGGGGCTAAGCACCACTCAAGAAGTACTTCATAGCATTATGGGAACTCACCTCACAGTTGCTCGCCACTGTTTGTTGTAACACACACGGAGACCCAATGACCCATCTCTGGAATAGTTTTTGAAATCTGCGAGTGCAAAAAGGACTCGTATGCCATCTTCTGAACATGGAGTACATGTATGTAACACTGTAATGACTTTTAAGTGTATCTGCAGAGAATGCTGTTGTACTTGCAAAATGACCATTTAACCTTCCAATTATGATATTATGTGAATGCGAAAAGGACTTGGTTGCCATTTTCTGAATGAGGAGTTCTGTAACGGATCATGTGTGTCAATTGCTGCACAAAATATTGAAATGGTAGCAGTGATCATTTAACCTTCACATGATCATGATTGAGTATGCGATTGCAAAAAAAAAGGAGTTATGAATGGTCTTGTATTAAAGCATGGAGTGGAATGTTGTAATGAACTACACAATGTACATGCCACTTTGAATGCAAAATGTGAAATGTTTAAATACTTTGAATTGATCATATATTTAACCTCACAGTTATCATCATTGATTACATGTATATGTATATGAATGCAACAATAATACTATGAACACAGAGTGGGAATTCGTACTGAATTTCGTTGCACATAAAGATTGAAATGTTCCTGAGCAGTGATCATTTAACCTCCACACTACCATTACCGTGATATCTGACATGAGCTTTGCAGAAAGGGCACATTAATGGTTTAATGAGCATGGAGTTGAAACCCTGTATTGAATTCTGTGTGCCATTTTTGCACAAAATTAGTAAAATGTTATGTAAAAATGTTCATATAACCTCCACATCACCATGTTATATTTTGTGAACTTCAGATGGACCTTCTCATCACTGCAATGAATTCTCTTGTGTCATTTTTGCACACAAAGATTGAAATTCTGCTGAGAAGTGATCATTTAACCTCCGATTCATCATACTGGAGTTTGCGAGTGCTAAAAAGGACCCACGAATGATCTTCTTAAGATTGCAATGAAAACATTGACCCATGTTTGCATACAAGGTGAAAGGTCAATTGAAAGGTCAATGATCTAAGATACTACATGTACATTTGTATGACATCACTTTGGTACTTTACATTTTTATATGAAAAAAATACATGTAGCGACGCAATGGGATTTTAACAGAAAGACATTTTAATGTTTTAATTTAGTGAAAAGTGTTTTTTTTAAAACAGGGGGCAGGTGTGGAATGTGATGGTTTGAAATATATTATTTTTCTTCAAATTTTACTTTACGCTCAAAGGTTGTACATGTCTGTATTGCATTGATTTTTGTTCAGTGCCATATATAGTCGACGGTAACATACAATATGTTATTTGCATGATGAAGACTTTGTATTGAGCGTCGCAATGCATATTCAAAACATTTAAAAGTCAAGTAGTGCGCGTGCTTACTTCACTGACTCATTTGTATCTACATGTATTTGACACCATGCAGTATGATATGCAAATATTTTTCTGCATTTTAAATTAAGAGATTTTAAGCAAATCGCAAAGGTTGTGATTTTTTGTTGTGTTTTTAAATTATTATTGAAAGCAGAATAATCCATTTTGCATTCTATGCATGTATATTTCATCTGTTGAGAGCCAGAAGGGCGTAAAGTCTATGTAAAACTATCTAATTGAATGCCCTTCTGAAGCTCAAGGGACGATTTCATTCGTAGATACTTATTCTTTTATTTTCCAATTTCTATCTATTTAAATGTATGTATTATTACTCTAGTGTCTTTTGTGTATATTATTGTATCATAAACTATAGTTGAATCGTGCCAGGTATATAAAATGAGCAGAAACATACTGTTGATTTCGAAATTTTTCACGGACAAATTCAGAGTATGACAAGGGTGCCTTGAGTATGTGCAGCGCATCTAGAGGCTGTTCAGTTCACACTGGCATGTTTCAAAGTTAAGTCTGTACAGGAACATTCTTTTTGATTTGATGTGAACACTCTTTATGTTAAGTGGCGTCTTGAAACCATGTGGATATACAGTATTTTTTTTCTTGCTTAAAAAAAAGAGAAGTCAATCCAATCCAAAAGTTATTTGGTATCAAGCATTTTCTTCCAGATAAACGGCGGCATTAAAAAAAAAATATTCACATAAAATGTAGGTGACATTTCTGTATCTTATAATTCTGAGTTCGGTGAAGACGCACAGGACTTTTGTTTTGCACAGTTGCTATTCCATTTACACAGTCTATTAAAAATTGACAAACTTTACCGTGTCATATCTGTCATAATGGGCTGAGTACATTCTGATTAGGACAAGTTGAGAGAAACTGATCAATAAAAGTTTGACGGAAATATCACAAAGCACGAGAAAACGTTGTAATCGACTAAATACAAATTCGCAACTTTAAGATTAACCTACTGTAATTACAAACATGTATGCACTGTATCCTCACAAATATTACAAATTGTATAGAGCATGTAATTCAGAATTATGTACAGACTGACGGTTAATCAAATTATAGATTATACATTTCGATTTGCGATCAATCATTTCAAGCTCGGTAGCAAGTTGAGTCAAGGAATTAATGATATTCATGAATGTGTTGCTTGAATGGCATATTCATTTCAAATGCATGCTTTCATCGGCTGTGAATAGAACACTCGCAAACTAATTCATTTTGGCATTGTCATTTTTACATCCATATTCATGCCAGGGACAATTGGTTTGTTTTCTTAATCTACAAAATGTATTGTCAGCATTCATAAAGGCATAAACCCACATTAAGATATGAATTGGTAAACTGCTTTGTGTTTTTCTTTATTACATAAGTGTAATATGCTTCGAATTTCTGTATCTTATAACACAGAGTTGAGTGAATATGCGTAGGTCCTTTGTTGCGCAAAGTTGACTTTCATAAATGCATTATATAGAAAAGAATGCTGCAGTTTACCGTTTTATATCTGAGGGAGCCATAAATAGTTACACTTACAGACATGTAGACAGTCAGCCATGGGTTATAGTTTTCTGAAATCTGGCCTAGCTGTCATGGATTTCAAATGTTTCAATAGTTTCTAATCGGTGCCACCTTTAAAGATTAAATAATATGCCTTCATTTATGATGTGAAGGTTAATGATTATTTTAGAGGTTTACATTCGTAAGTCATTGTTTTGAAATGTTTCCTCTCTCCTTCACAAAACCAATATCAGTTCTGCCTTGTTTACATATAACAAGATAAGGAAAGATACAATAATTGAAAACATTTTTCTTTGCACTTTTTGTAATGTCATAACACACTACATGCAGATAATGTGTACACTGTATATGAAAAAAGAGTTGTTAAAATACATGCAGACATGCGACAAGTTTTATTTTGATGCAGTCACTTCTTATTAGAAATATTACTGAATTTACTTTAAAACAGGAACTTCAATTTACAAACACAATGATGCAGACATACGTGTAGCCTCTTGTATGCCACAAGTAGGTTTTGTAGTGCAGTTTTATTGCTTCCTTTAAAGTATTGAATGATTTTCCTGTTTATCAAGTGTCTAAATATCGTCTCTAAAAAGTTTCTTTTAATGGTCAATCAGGAAACAGGTGTTTGAAGTTTGAACTGTTATTTTTTTCACAGTAAAGGAAGTGATATTGAGAAGAAATGAAGTGTTGGGTTTATCAACAAAATCAAAGCAGAAAGTGTCTATCGTAAAAGAACTTGATTAATGTCTTTGAATATATTCCTTTGCCTATTTTTAAACCAGTTTCATCACTGCACAATCGACACCATGGTGAATATATTTTGTTTTGTGAATGCAATTCTTCAGCATCATTTCACAGAACAAGTGTACCAAAGAATTTGATTTGGACAAAGTTTTGTGCTCACACATGTCACCGTGCTTTGAATAGGAACCGATAGTAGGACTTCTTTTATGATTTTGTTTTAATGTATCTATTGTTGAAAAAGAAACAGGCCTACATGTATCTGTAATATGCATTTGGACAGCAGAATGCCATTTACTGTAACCTTTGACCTACATGTAAACTGTAACCCCACTTTAACTCTCGACCTACATTTGCCACAATGTTTTGGGAAGCCCCCTCCCCCCCCCCCCCCCCCCCCCCCGATTTACACAGGTATTTTTAAGGATGCTTACAATTCTAAAACTGCTGCATTTTCTTTTCCTTGTAAAGTGTAATAACAATGCAATCGAGATGAAAACAAATCGTCTTGTTGCCATCTGAATTATCTTTTTTTTTCTTCATACCTTTTTACATCTTTCTGAATGGATTTCACAATTGATACCCCCACCCCCTGCTTTTATGACTTTGTTTACTTGTATCCTAAAGCTTAGAGGTGTTTCGCCTTACAAATAACGTCTCATCCTTTCATATAAGAGTCCTCTGTTTTTCAATTAATTATACCAGACTACTTATATTACATATGAATTGAAAGTTCGTTTTAATTTCTGCGTTAGATTTCATGAAAACTTAATCCCCCCCTCCCCCAATTTACTATTTTATTGCATTGTATTATTTTTGGAACAATCGAGACGTCCGTGCATGAAAAACTTGTCGATATGCTCTTCATAATGATCATTTTGTCATGGGAAATAAACAGTATGATGTACAGTATAATAAATTCCTCCTTGTTCTTAACTTTTGAGATGTGTACAGATTTTGTTAACGCTTTGTCGTTGAGATGTGTTAGAAAATCATTTGAGGAAAATACTTTTCTGAAAAAGCTAAAGGGCACCAAAGGATTATTTTCTTCAAAGGAAGTTGCATTTTTTTAAAAGCTCTATTTGCATCATAATGAGGTCAGATAGATTTTTATTATGTTTTTTGTGTGTGGATTCAGTGCAAGAGATGTAAGAAAAGAGACAATAAAAAAAAAGTGAGACATAAAATGAGAAATGTGGAAGACAGAGGATAGAGACAAAAATGCATTTCAGAAATGTTTTCTTTCCTTCTAAAATAGGTACATATTTTCAAATGTTATTGATATGCACTAAATGTTTATGAACTAAATGGCAAACAAAAACCTGTGTCCACCCAACCATCTACCCACACACAAATAAAAAAGGACACTTAATTGTTTGGTTCAGCTTTTCCGACTCTTTTGCTGTCTGAGACATAATAAATGTGCAGGGCAAGCAAAGAAATCAAGATTTATTCTAC